CAGAGCATTTTATGACATTTTCTCTTACTGGACCTCTTTGAAATGCAATTGAATACCCCTGCATTATAGCAACAACAACAATAATAATAATAATAATAATAGCAATAATAATTGGGAGGGGGGGGGCGCGGCTGTGATTATGTTCTCTGAGGGGAGGCTCACCTTCCCACACTTTGGGAACCCCTGGCATAAGGAGATGAAACATGCTTTATGTGCTCTCTAAAACCTAAATGAAGTCTACAGTATATCCCAAAATGTCAAGAGGAAGCCCGCTTGGTGATGCATGTGAAATGTTCCACGCATCTTTCGGACAACCAAAATAAAAAATTAAACTCCATTCAAATGTTCTATAATGCAATAATGAACACAAAATACACAGTTCCATCAGTAAAGGCGCCCAGATGGGGAGAGGGAAACGACCTCAGCTCAGAGACCTCCGTCATCTCCATCTATCGCTTTCAGCACGCCAGCAGCACTAAGGAGCATTCAGGTAAACTGTCCTAGTCTCTAACATTGGATGAAGGGTGGGTGGTGGGGTGTCCGGTGCCTTGCTCATGTGAACCACCTCTTCAAGTACCATATTTTAAGTCTGTTCGGGGACTTGAACCAGCGACCCTACGGCTCCCCGTCCAAGCCCCTGCCGAGTGCCGGCTGAGCCACTGCCGGACATATATAGAAAATATCCTATATCACCATAGGTTACATCGTATTTGTAAACAGCAACAGCAACGTGCAACAATAACTTACTCATGTTTAACCACACTTCAAAGTTCAACTGCTAACACAATATTATTTGTTCTCTCTATCTGAGAGGTGAGTCTTGACTCACTCATACTGACTGACTTTAAGGTTTTCTGATGGTACTTTTAACACCTTTATTATGTGAGAAATGGCCCGACAGGTCCGAACAGAAAACAAAATGACATGGCGGAGGTTGGCCCGGTAGTAATTCACACTTCATTCCTGTTAAACCTCGTGATAGTCCCAGAGTGCCTTTCCTTGGCCCCGGTTCAAAGCCCTCTGTATACAAAAAAACAGACAAAATAAAAAATGGGGGATGAATACCAGCAGGAGTGTCACAGGGGGGAGAGATTTATAATGTGAACGCTCCAACTCCCTCGTAAATCAGAGCAAAAGGCTTTCAGGTAGGGGAGCTGGCATTTTTCAAGACAAGAGAGACAGAGAGGGACTGAAATAAAATAAAAAAGGAGTGATATAAAGACATTTAAGTGAGGAGTTGTGTGGAGGTGAAAATATAGATTTAGTGTTGAAGATAGAACAGCCTAATTAAGAGCAGGGTAGAGGGGGTTTTCTTCTTTTTCGCTACGGAGCATGCATGCTCATGCATATCTTTGACACCTCAGTGGTTCATTAATGTGTTGGCACACAAATGAAAAGGCAATGTTTTGCACAAAAAAAAGACTGGATAAAAGATAATGTCATGGCTCTGACAAAGTGATCTTCATGACGTTAACAGATATACAGTATGTAAAGTATACCATGTTAACCATTTTAGCTCAGCATATTAATGTGCTAACTTATAGATGATGCAAAGTTAGTTCTACAGATATTATAAATTCTTATTGAAACGTAAACATGGACGTGGAAACATCATGGGAGTTCATTATAGGAAATCAGGTCTGGACACTTTTGTTTTGGCATATGAAAGTTTGTTTTCTTTTGGTTTTTCACCATCTGTTATTAAAACGTTTTAAACACACCCACTCGCTTGCCCCAGAGAAGGAGTAGATTAAACATGAGCTCAATCGGACATCTAACAGACAAAATAAAGCCAGGGTAAATATTTCGGACATTTCGGACTCAATCAGTTCAAATTCAACACGACAATCCTTACTTTCTATTGATATCTCAGTCTGGAGGAAGAGGTTACTATCCAATGTAGCTGACCCTTTAAGTAAGAATGTAGTTTAGAACTAACCAGACAGGATCATAAACATACAGTCTGATTAATTCACTCCACACACAGACATCCCTTCATATCTAAGCTTTGACAGACATGTTGTGTGCGGCAGACTGGACATGTCCTGTCGTCCCACAGCTGAGAGCCGGCGGCAGACTCATTCAATATTTGGCACCAAAGGCTCAGCAGTGGTTGAACCTTAATGTTTAGCCAGTTAGAATAAAGAAATATACTTAATTTGGATGATTACATTATTTTAAAATGTGTTGTTAGTGACTGGCATTCTTTGTTAACTGATGTGTCAGCCGGATTGGCTCACAGGGACACCATTTTCTAAATGCTTTGAATCAACGTTTACTCAAAATGTGAAACAATCATAACCAACTTTGATGACAATCATCTAATCATAAAAAACACAACAATTAATATCAGTCTCATATGCTGCGATCACTCCTCTAACGTATTCCCACCGCATTACTTCCATGTGATGCAATTAGGTTACATACTGTATAAAGATCATTTGCCCGCCTCTTTCTTTAAACGGTCTGTAGAAGCCCAGCAGTGAGCTGCTGAAAATGTTATCTCTGGTGTTTTATGATGCTTTTAAAACAAAATACTGCCCTCAAGGTCATTATTACAGAACAGATGTTCCTTTTTGCTCCGCAGAAAATGTACCAACCACCTGTGCAACTCCTGTGTTTCATAGTCTGAAAGACGTGAACTTCAATTTCACCTCTTAATTATCCAAGCACACTGAAAAAATAATTCTGAAACAACATGTCACTAAGCATCTTTTTTCTTTACAAAATGTTTTTTAAACAGGTTGCATCACAATGAGGAGGAGGTTTAGTAGAATGCGACTTTAGTTAGCAGGTGATGTTATCCAGATTGTATTTCTGTAGGTCTCCCTTGAAAAAGAGATCAATGATCTCAATGGGACCTACCTGGTTAAATAAAGGTTTGAAATTAAATTAAATGAGATTATATCTAAATAAATTCATCAATGAAATTGTGCGTGCATAATCGTGTCAATAACAACATCACATCCAATCTGACCACACTTGTTAGCAGGAAAGTCAGCTTTTGAACAGTTGCCAGAGAAAGGGGGATGGATGTGAGAGGAAGGTGAGAGAGGGGAGAGAGGGAGAGGAGCAGCGAGAGGCTAACGCTAATCCACTTATTAAGGCAATAACTGCAAGCTTGGAACCTGCGCCAGATATTAATACCTAATCACGAGTTAATTAAAGGAGGGTTAGTTAGCACCTAATCCTCTGTGATGGGGGGTGATAGCGGCGGGGAGCGACAGAGTGTCCTGAGCGGGTGGGGGGGTGATAGGCCTTCTATAGTGCTAAAGCTAAGTGCTAAAACCAGAGCTGTGGACTGAAGATATAATTAGCTGCAAGGTGCCAATGTTGCATTGAGCTGTCTTTAGACTACTTGAGAGAGAACACATTATCAAATGGGAAATTTCTCTGGGTGTTAGAGATGATTAATGGACCATAAGGCCAAGAGGTAAGAACTACAGCGAGAGGGAGAGAGGTATAAGGAGTACAACAAGAACCACATCCTGTTTATGTGGAATGAGTTTTCATCCACTTGGCCTTTGGCGCTGAATAGAGAGGCGAAGTCCCTCCCTTTCCGGTGGAGCTCCATGGGACCTTATTTTGGAAAAGTTATGCATTGAAGTCAATGGGGAGAGAAAGATTATCTTTCGATCCCGTTTGAATTGTGCCACAAATTACACATATAATGTTTGTCAATTTAAAAGACAATTTTGCAAGTCAAAAAAAAAAAAATGTGTCGTAAAACTGTGAAGTAACACTTTTTTGTGTGTGAACCGCTCAATGAACTACATCTCCCGTCTCGCACCACACACCAAGACGGCCGTCACGTTGCCACATTTCACTTCTTTCTTTCAGAATGGGGCGAAAAGTATTAAAAGAGGTGAACATCACTACAAGTCTGGGCATGTTGAGAGCTGTACATACACACAAGGGGAGTTAGTCTGTTCCGTAAGAGCCAGCATGCAGGACCGAGATTCTGGGATTTGTAGTCTTTCTAGTTGCGTATTTTTCATATTCTTGTATCTCAACAGTTTTACGACAAACTGTGACTTTTTTGACATGGACATTATTATTTAAGATTGACAAACATCATATGTGTAATTCGTGGCACAATTCAAACGGGATCAAAGATAATCTTTCTCTCTCCATTGACTTCAATACATACTTTTTCCGAAATAAGGTCCCATGGTTCGGAAGTAGATGGGCGGGACTTCGCCTCTCTATAGGACCATCAGTCCTTCAAACTGCAGCATAGAAGTATTAGGGCCAGTGCTTACATAGCGCCTAATTCTGAGCGGCAGCGTGTTTTTCAATGGATTCTAACGAGAAAAAAGCGCATGTCGTCTGAAGCAGCTGCCTCGACAAAAAGTGCTGCACCCAAAAGGCACTATGTGTACATGGGGGCCCCTAGAATGAGGTCAATGTGTGATTATTGAAGTAAAGTGATACTCATACTAAAGCAGAATAGTAAGAGTGAGAAGCCCCTTTTTCTTTTTTAAGATGTAGGAGCTCAAGTTAGAGACTTGTGTTTTGTTGGGACTTGTTTTATTTGGTTAGGGAAGTCTCAACTTTTGTTTGTTGTTTTGGAGGTAAAACGCTAAATCGAAGAGTTCCCTTGTGTTGCTGACTGTTTCCTGGAAGAAGGCAGAGTGTGGAGACGCCCCTGGTCAGGACATCAGCGGCACATTTATAAAACAATTTGTGTAAAAAGGTGATTTGTTTGTAGAAAGCTCCCAGCAGCGTAGTTAGAGTGAGAAGAACCTCTTTGTGTTATCAGATGTCGGAGCTCAAGTTAGAGACTTGTCTTTTGTTTGGTTTTTGGTGAGGGAAGTCTAGAATTGTTGTTAAGTCAACTTTTGTTTGTTGTATTGGATGTAAATAAACTGCTAAACTGAATGTTCATTGTGTTGCTGACCCTTTTCTTGGAAGTAGGAAGGAGTTCATGAAGTGTCTGAGTAACACAGCATTGGTACATTTAGAAAACGTCTAAAAAGGTGATCAGAGCTGTGGTGTACCTATGTGCCTCCGGGTCATCTCCACAGTGGCGTTCCTGTTGACGTTGGACAGCAGGCCGAGGCAGAAGCGCTCAGAGTTTGAAGGATCTGTGAACCCGTCCACGGTCAGCGAGGGCTGCGAGGCGTGAAACGTTTCCCCCACGCGCTGGTTCAGCTCGTAGTACGCTATCGAGCACCAGAAGGCCGGCTCGGAGTAGGTCACCGGCTGAAGGTCTGCAGCAGAGGACCCTAACGTCAGTAAGGTTTGTGGGGAAACATCAATATCTGAAACAACACAGTTTATACTTGGGACAAAAAAAAGCACTGGAAATGCCTGTGATCATAATCCAACGAGGTGCCAAAATGTGATGTTTTAAAGCAATACTTTACCAACAAAACACTCATTTGTTTATCAATTACTCACAACGTGTTACCTTGAATTCTCAAAGTGTTTCCACAGTAAACAAAGAATGATCAAATGGGAACAGTCTTGATGAATTAAAGTCAATATGGGCCATGTTTATCGGCAAATTGATGTAAAAACGTCCGTTTACAAACTCTAATTTATCCAGTTGTATTCTCACTTCTTATCAAAACAGCACTAATTATAATACATTACTATTATTTGTCAAGTCTGAAATGTTTCTTGCACCACAGCAGCTCTATTTGCAACACCAACAAGGACACATATTTAAGACTAGAAACAAGACAACAGACATTTAATGTAACATTATTAGAATTTTCCGTTTTTGATGCATGCATTTCACTCAAACATTACTAATACACAAAAGTGAGACTGTTTATGTGAAAGTGATTTAAATAGTTACGGTTTTAGTGAAAGGTCATGAGTTTGGGAAGTGAGAATCTGACTGGATAACTGAGACTTCGATTATACTGCATGAGTTGTGTGTGAGTTTGTAAACCTTCTGATATAGTTTTGGTGTAATTTACTTTGTTTCCTCAAACTTTTCTTTGTTTTCTGACTCTTTGTTCACCGTGGAGGCGATCAGGACAAATAATGCTTTCTTGAAGTATTAAAAAGGTAACACAGGGTGAGTTCTTGATATACAAATATTCATTTTGTGGTTGAGCAAATCATTTAATACACAGTAATGAATGCTATCTCTATTGTTTTGTCTCTTACCCATGCTGTGATTGACAGGAGACAGAGTGCTGGGGGAGAGCTCTGCTGGAGAACCTGACGGAGAAAACAGGAAGTCTTTTATTTAGACGGGATCAGAACCTCGGGGTTAGTGAGAGTAGTGGCTGCCTTGTCTGGGGATCCCATAACGATAGTGTTAGTCTAATCAATTTGCAGTAGAGTGATGAAGAAATGCGGAGTAAGAAAGATATCTTTGTACTTCTTACATATTGCTTTTGTTTGTATTTTACACTTTGAAATATCTAAATTAAAAAACTATCTCCCTCCTACTGTTATGGTTATGACTTAAAGCAGATCGAAGATGCAAACTGAGACTTGATGAGAATTTGGGAAATATCCATACATTCAATCTCCAAAAAGGATCCTGGAGAAATTCAAGAGGCTAAAATGCATTTTGTTTGTGTGTAGTATCGTTCAATTGAACATGTAAAAATAAATAAAGACGACAAAAAATCATGGGAGAAATTGTACAACAGAGGTTCAAAACTAAAAATCACATAATTATAAATATTTATTCTTAATTAAAATGTTCTGTAATGCATGTTAACAGCTTTAGACCACTGCAACCTCTCTGAATAATCGTTATGGTAACTTCAATGTTTGATTAAAAAAATCTGCTTTTAATGTAGAGTCAGTCAGAAGTAATTCACTTGTAAAAATATAACTTTTGTAAACCCAGAGTAGAAACCGGGTATTTGCAATTCATCTCTAAGAGAGGATCTGGTCTATTCAGGGTTCATACACTTTTTCACCAATGATTTTCAATGACTTTTCAATTACCTTTACCTAATTCCCCATGACCAAAACAATTACTCTTTCTCAGCGGTACCACTGAAAATGGTTTATTTTAACATGGAACAGGAAAATAAGGTCTGAAACATGTTGTGCCTCTCTAAAACAAATCAAATAGTTGGCTTACAAGCTTCTACACGCTAAAGCAACTCAAATCTCTCACCAGCAAAATACTTCGTCAGTTAAATGCCATTTTATGTTTCATTACTATACGATACAGTATTTATTATCATTATAGTATTACTATTTCGGCGATTAGATAAAATCTAAATGATATTTTATGCAACTTTAGTTACATTTCCATGATTTTTCCAAAACTTTGGGGAAAATATTGTTTTCCATCACTTTTCCAAGACCTGGAATTAGCATTTTAAATTTCCATGACTTTTCCAGGTTTTTAATGACTGTAAGAACCCTGACATATAAATGTAACATTGAGTTTGATTCAAATGACCTTGGCTCAGCTCTCTAACGACTCACAGGTGCTAAGAGAATTAGCACAGCTAGCTTGTGATATGTTTTTAAAACGATGTAACATAAGAGGTGCTTTGGACGCTGAATGAAAATATTGACTTTGAAATATTGACCTAGTTTTATTCAAAGCTTGTAGATGAAAGCAACTTAAAAAAGGAGGGCATCATCAATAAAACAAGTCTAACTAAAGCAGAGGAAAACAACTTAAAAACAAGAGGAATATTAAACTGAAGACTTTATTGCCAAGTGAATTAAATCTAGCCAACAGCTGACTCAAGGGGTACCGTCTCCACTACTGTCATCCATTCATCTCCACGGTAACAACAAACCAATTTCCTCCATGCACTGCACCGTTTCCTGCAGCATTATGAGAACTAGCTTCCATAAAATTATATTAAAACCTGACAGTATCACATGGCATCCCTACGAGATTTCTAAAAATGCTTCAACTGTTTCTCCGACTTGGGGAAAAGGAGCATATTCGTAACACTGGTTGCATTGGTTCTCTATCAAAGAACTGCTAATAAACCACTCTGTCCCAGTCCAATAAATCCTGCAGGATGGGCAGGCAATGTCATTAGTCTGGGTCTAATTGGAGCATTTTAGAGCCCTGTTAATGTTTT